GAACAATATGACCCCAAGTGTAACCTATATCATCGTTAAATCTTATCTTATAAAACCAGTGGAACTTCAAAATCGTTAAAATTCATGGCTCCCGCCGCATTGCGCAGGTACACAACTAGTATATATATATATATATAACTATATTATTCATAAATAAGTAAAGAAAAGAACTATAAACTGATTCCCCTATAACCCTTAAATGCCAAAAAAACTAACCCCTGAATTTTCCATTACCAAACTACTTTAATACCCGATCAACAGTATTTGAAAACCGAATATTACACAAACCAGATAGATATGCCGATTTTCTTTAATCTTCCAGAAAACTTAATAACTAGAATCAGATCCAAAATTGTCAACCATAAGAATGATGATGATACTCAAACCACTTAGGTCACAACCATAACATCATAATAATGATTGTAAACTATCAAACCTCTAATTGATCAGGTTAGAAGGATGACTGAGAACATTCAAAATTCTTATTATTTCTAGAACTTCTAGAACAGTGATTGCACACCTTCAAGACCACCGATTGATTAGGTCAAAAGTAATGAGTGAAGGCACTTAATGATCTAACTTCTTATAGAAAACTCAAGAGAAGTGATTGGAAATACTTAAACTCTAGTTAGTCCATCCAAATACTGAAACCAATCAATACCGTTCTAAAATCCTTTCAAATCCTGCTTTAATCTTCAAATTTCAACTTGTTGACCAAAAGTCAAACTTTGACTTTAAAAGTCAATGTTGACAAAAAGTTGTTGTATGACGCTCTTAAGGGCAAAAAGGTAAAATAAGCTCATTGAAAATACAGCTAAGACATCCATTAAGCATACAATTAAGCACAAGAGTCAAAATTGGACAAGTACTCTTATGGTGAGCAATGAGCATATGTAACATTGCTCATCGCCCATGACTTAGGTGGAGAGGCACAAAGAACATCCTTTATCGCTCACGCTTGAGGGATGAGCAGCGTCATCGCTTACCTCTTAGGCGTGAGAAAAGGTTATTGATCATAACACTGAGCGGATTCAATAACTGTCATGGTAAATTTTCAACTTCATTGCACATAGATAGGGTGCCATCACTTGAAGTTTTAAGCGATGAGAAGCTCTTCGGACAACACTATATCTCACAAAGTAACAAGGTTATCACCCTCACCAAGACGTCATTGCTTGGTATATTGAGCAATGAGAGCCCTTCATCGGACACCATAGTGAGCGAATTAACCAATAACGCGCATGACTTGGAATTTAAACATGATCTCCGGACAGGCATTAAACGATGAGAAAAATTATCGCTAAAAAACTTAGTAAAATTCCATCCAAGTCCTTAGATATCGCTCGAACCTATGTTACCAAAAACAAAATCTCTCCAATGAGCACACTTATCGCTTATTTCTTCACATCTTCATTGGGCAATGAACACCACTTCATCGCTTAATGAATAAATTCATTTGGCGATGAGGAAAGTTGTTTTTCCAGAAAGCTCAGTTTGACTTAAATTCATCAATTTCATTAAAATCAACCAACTTGTCACAAAATTGATGATTCAAAAACGTTAGTATTCACCTAATGCTAATACTTTAGCATCATTTTGATTAAAATAGTGAGAATCAAGGTGAATTATGGTTTGTTATGTTCAAGAATGTCAAACAGAAAGTTGCATAAGGATGTGAGTACTGTTTCATCAAAAAACATAGTTGAATTCTCGAACTTCTTACTGAAACAATTGATCGAACCGAAAATGTTGATTCGATTATTCTCTGATACCAATTGTTATCCCAGATTCAAATCTAAACACAACAATCCAATCAATTAATTAAGAACATGTAACACCCCCAAACACCACATTTGCATATAACACATATTTCATTACATAGAAATATAGTTTACATTACAAGGTCCCACTAGTACAAGGATTCTTATATGAACAAAATCTACATAAGAAAATTTTAAAAAATAAATCTTCTACTACACATGTAATACAACATGTATCTTCAAAATAAGCCATCAAAAGCAGATCTTCAAAAGCAGATAAGAGGCTAGGAAAATAATCACATTTTTCTTTCCCCTTATTATCCTTGGACCCCGCCATTCCTGCATTTTATATTTTTAAAACAGAAAATGAGGGTTAGACCAAAAGGGTCTAGTGAGTGAATCCTTCATTTACGAATGCAGGATAATGAACACCAACATATAATAAAATAACTTTGCTCAGAAATATTTGCAATACAACCAAATTAAGCAGTCCTCAATGACATGTATACTAGAATAAATTCAAGAACCTTAGTTCTATTTATAAAAATATATCTACTTAAAGATCCAATGCTCCCAGTATAAAACAAATATTGTGACCAAAGCTTCTTTGAATCTTCAAATTACAAAGACCTGAATTTTTCTAAAAAGATTTAAGGCAATACTTGCCTTTTTATGACAAACCATTTTCGCCTTCTTAATAACACCTAAATTATTGTTTCTAAATTCATCAGGTCACAAAGAAATGATGACTCAAAGTTATTAAATCCAATTAGTAACAATAATAAGAGTTATAATATTTTCCATATATGACAATGCCTCCCTTATTCCAAGTACACCTCTCCTTGATATGCCACCCTTATTCCTTCATCAAAACAGGGCTACTTATAAGAATAGACAAAAGTCACCACGTTTGAAAGTACCCATTTCCAGTTCCAAGCCAGAACAGACAAAAGTCACCATGTCTGGGGGAACTACCAGTTAAAACAAGTTTCATACCAAAACAGACTTATGTCACACGCTTGGTAGAAACAATTTACAAAATCCACTTCCATACCAAAACAGACTTATGTCACCACGCTTGGTAGGAAGGTTTCCCAAAATATAGTTTCATACCAAAACAGACTTACGTCACCACGCTTGGTAGAAACATTTCCCAAAATCCCGTTCCAAACCAAAACAAACTTACGTCACCATGCTTGGTAGGAACATATCTTTTTATTTAAAAGGATATGAAATACCCTTTTTATAAATCCATAATTAAACCCAATAATAGACATTTTAAACTACATAAATGTCTAGAATAATTAACACTTGAAAATTTTCAAATAAAAGTTATCCGGACAGATTATCCGGATATACAATTCGGACAACACTTGTCCCTTTGGTCTGATTTACTAATCCGGACAACCCATGATCGAATTAAGGCTAAATCGCATACCTTATGCCTGATTTAAGGCAATCCGGACAACACATGGTCGGATTAAGGCTAAACCGTTTAATACGTGATCGGTTTATAACTAATCCGCATGACCCTTAAGCGATTTAAAGCTAAATCGCACAATGCTTGGTCATATTCATACTTCTCCGTTCAAAACCTATGTCCGGTTTACTTAGTTCAAATTCTCACCAACACCCTAAATCGCACAACACTCATGCGATTTATAAATAGATCGGACAACTCCTACCCGGTTTAAGAGTAATCCGGACAAACCTTGTCTGGTTTATACCTTGTCTGATCAACCCTTGACCTATTTAAACCCAATTCGCAGAAAACCAAATAATATATAGTTCTTTCTATAGTAATAATCCAAGGCTTTTAAAAGAGTATTTTTAGAAATCACTCACCTTATGAAAGCTTGAAGAAGATTGCAAAACTCCCTTTCAATATCCGGACAACACTTCTTAAATCACTTTCAAGATTTTGAAAATGGCAAGAGGATCAATTGAAGTCTTAACTTACATATACCCTTCCAAAAGTAGAAGGCGGTTATCACACCCCACAGGCATGCGCACTTCCAAAAACCCATCCATGCATGCATAATTAAAATCCCTCACCCATGCATGTATATAAAGATCCATGCACACATATGCACATTAATATTATGCACATACACACACACATACATATATATTATATAACATATATATATATACATATTATCCATATATCCCTATGCATAAAATACACATACTCACGTATTCGATCCATGTAAACATGTATCCCATATAAATAATTAATTCATATAATAAATACCTTGGGTAATAACCACGACCTGGTTATCACATTATCCACCCCTCCAAAAGCTTTCCGTCCCGGAATTCCTTTAATCAAAGAGCCATGTAAAATCTGCTCTCATTTCTGATTCCAATTCCCAAGTCGCTTCTAGTCCTTTATGAAACTTCCACTATACTTTAACCAGACTGATTTCTTTGTTTCGCAACACCCTATTTTTTGGGTCAATTATGGCTTATGGTGTTTCTATAAAGGTCAATTTGCTGTCCAATTTGACCTCTGGTAGCGGTACAGTGAAACTTGGATCATCTAAACATTTCCGCAGATTTGACACGTGGAAAGTGTTGTGAATCAAACTCAGTTCTTCTGGTAGCTCTAACTGATATGCCACTGGCCCGATTCGGTTACTTATTCTGAACGTCCCCACATACCTCGAACTAAGCTTACCCTTCTTTCCAAACCTGACAACA